CATAGGCCATAGTGTGTCTAGCAGACTCTTTAGCAACGCAGGAAACTTTAAACTGTCTTCTTGTATTGGCAGTTTATCAGTCACTTTTCTCTGTGTCCTGCATACTGTCTCGCAGACTCTTCCACGAAGCAGGAACTCTGTAGCAATGTCCATCTTGAATCAGCAGTCACTTTTCTGTGGGTCCTGCATGTCCAGTTTATACAGCATAAAGTCAAACAGTCCAGACAAGAGCAGTATCTTGTCCAAATGGCTAGTCTTGCCATATTGGAAGCAAACTCCATAACACGTTTCTTCTATGTCCATCTTCCTTTCTGACCCAGGTGGCGTTGCCAGGAGCAGTTATGTCTCACTGTCAAGAAAAACCCTAAACCATTTTAAATGCCATATTCTGTAGGTCTTTGAAAGGTTTGAAGAATGCCTATCTATCTCAAATACATCTCTGTATATCTAGAAAACCTAACTAACTTAGCTATAAGTTTTGACTATTATAGGTAACTATGTAAAATCTGTACTAAATTATACGTTACATTTTAAAATGAGCTATATAAACACAATACATAAGCAAGAAGAGAAATATACATATCACAACATTGACCTTAAATTGTATCAATAAATGAAAATCCATTCCAAAACAAAGTATTCATATCTATACCATAATTCCCTTTTTACCTTGAAAAAGAATTGACTATGATCATTAACCATTTATAACCAAGTCCATTTAAATGAAAACAAACATTTATAAACAATATTTGGGAATTTGGGCGTCGTTCTTTCCAAACTACTTCCTGCTGATAGGGGCGCTGTCGTGGGGATCCTAAGAAGATGGCTGTAGTCTGCAAGGCTGCCTCGTTCAAGCTGTTTTGAATGTTGGATCACCAGGAACACTGTTTCAGGGGGTCTGGCTTGATCAAACCACATTAGTCTGGAAGGAATCTACAGCTTTTTATTTCCTGTTGAAACAAAAATAGAAATCCTTTCCCCCAGTAACTTGTCCTTGAACTTAAATGTTTGAGTCAAAGCATTTTTAAAATATATAAATTGAATTAATCCCGCAGTATTTCCTTCAACAGTTGTTGTTTCCTCAGCAGTCAAATGATATAAAGACAATGTAATGCCATACAGTAACCAGATTCTCTCTGAGCTTTTCATCTTTATGTGGCTTTATTATTACTCTGTTTCTTTTACTTTTTATTTTTTGAGACAGAGTTTCTCTGTGTAACTCTTATCTGTCCTGGAATTCACTCTGCATACCAGGTTTACTTTGAAATCACAGAGATCTGCTTGCCTCTGTCTCCCAAGTGCTGGGATTAAAGGTGTGTGCCACCACACCCAGTTCCTCTTTGTCTCTTAAAAACCATTTTATTTTATTTTCTCCCAAACCTACATATATTTTAAAACACTGTAAACCTTTAGAGGTTTTTCTTAATATGAATCTGTCTTTACTGTAAATCTTTTTCTGGTCATGAGTCTTTATCTGTTAAACAACAACATTGTTAAAATGAAAGTCTTTGTTGTTTCTGCCGCAGTTATCAAAGATGGCGGCTGCTATTTTACCGCCAGCACTGAAAGCTGCGCTCACTGCCTTGGTCTGCATGTTGCCGGCTTGGAGATGTGGTCACTGCCATTGCCATCTCTCATACACACCAATAAATTGTTAGCAGAGTTTCTTAAAAGACGTGTGGCTTTTTGTCCCTTATGATGAGTCAGGAACCTTCCCTTAAAGGAGTCGTGCGAATATCTGCTTGTCTCTCGCAAAGCAGAGTTTAACCGAGAAAAATGCTGCTACCAAGAAACCTTGATTGTCTCTGTTCTTTTGTTTGTAAAACCCTTTTTTAAGCTTTTGTTAAATTTTAAGTGGAAGTCCTTACTAGCCACGTGGGCGCCATTTGTAAGGAGTTCGGTTTTTTCCGCCTGCTGCCACCCGGTCTTGTCCTGCCGCTGCGCCAGCCCCAAATAATACACAGAGACTCTGTATTTGATATTATACTGTTGGCCAGGTACTTGTTTCTTATCGGCTAGCTCTGCCTAAATTATTAACCCATTTCTGCTGATCTACGTATTTCTCTTACCGGGGAGCCGGTGGCATACTGCTTTCTTCAGACTCTCCATCTTGACTCCTCCTTACTACTTCCTATTTCCTCCTTGTCTCCTAGTCCCTCCTATCTTCCTTTCCTATTGGCCAACAGTGCTTTATTATTAACCAGTATGAGAAACGTATATACATAATGGCATCTCCCATCATAAGCCATCTAAATATTTGTGTTCAGAATAACCTGTGTGTGCTTTAAGACAACTTAGGGCCGTCTCTACTCTGGCAACCCTTTAATCTTCTAGTTGTGAAGTGTCCTCACGTGAATGAGGTAAATCAGTGTATAAATGTGTAAAGTTCCAATCTCCCAAAGAACTGTACGTGGTTCCTGTGGGAACTGCAGTCCTCACACCTGGGCCCTTTTGTGTTAGAGAACTTTGAATTGTGTATCTAGGTCACGGTTTAAACTCTAGCCCAGGACTATTTGATATCAGTATTTTAAATTAGCATATCTACATGTCAGAGAAGCTTTGGATCAGACATGTTTTCAGAAAAATATCCCCTGTGACTGGAGAAATTCTGTCTGGGGACACCGATAGCACCAGCTGCAGTGTTACAAAGGATGTAGCACTGGGAAGAGCAAAGCCATTTGCTATGGCGACCAAACCCTTTCCTCATCTTTGCACCTGTTATGTGCTTTACGTTTTTAATCTCAATTGAACCTAATAAAAATTGCTTAAAGTTTCCAGACACAAGACATTTCCAAACTCAAGTAGTTTTTCTATTTGGCTGCGCGTTGGGATCCCACGTCTTCACCCTAGACCTCCTGAGTCAGGATTTCTGAGGCTTGGGAATCTATATTTGTAAAAGGTTATCTGAGTAATATGGTTGATGAGCCAGGATGGTGAACCACTGCTGAATAACAGTCCAATTATAGTAGTTAAGCACATGACATTGATTCCAAGTTGTAAAGCTATGAGATAGGCTGAGCCCCAACTGAACTCATCGGTCAGGCAATCCATGTACGTAAATAGCATATCCAATGACCTGAGGTTTAAATTTCTGTTTGCTTTACAGGACTAACACGTCCATCTAATGTTAGAATTCTGTAGTTTACTCTCCCAAGAGTTCACCTCATCTATCCTGTAAACTTTCCATGGGTGGAGGCATAGGTTTTTTTTTTTTTTCTTTCTTTCTTTCTAGTAATTCAGAATGTAGGTCAGAATGTTTGTGAGAATTGCCTCACTCTATGTAAATGAGAAGTGTCATAGCAACAAACACAGGATGTTATTATGCTGTTTTATCTCTAACTTAATTACTGGATGCCAGGTCATCCACTAAACCTTAATATTATGAGGACTTTATAAACTTATCTGACTAGCTCTTTAAAAAGTGACTTTTAACTTTACATGACCAAATGTAGGCAGTACAAGATGAGGAGGAGTAACATGGGATGAGCAGGTCATGTGTCAGGAGCAAGGTCCTCCGGTCATTCTCCTGTTCTTTGGGAAGAAGTGAGGGGAAATCACAGGAGATCCCAAATACAAGTATCATGTAATTTTATTATAATGAAATTAAATGAAAAGCAAGTCCTGTAAAATAAAGTGCCTTTGCAGATTAAAAATTGCATAAACTGATAAAGGAAATAAATAATCAGGTTATTTGACAAGTTTCATCTTAATCAAAATTGGTGAAAGATTCCAATTCAGATGCTTAGACACAAGAAGTTTCCAAACTTTTCCCCCTCCCAAATATCTAAAATTATCTTCACAAACAAATAAGTATTTTAGATTTTTAGATTAAAAACATGAAAAATACAAATAACCATGATAACCGAATAATCAGAAATCGCAACATAGGTGGAAGAAGACATGGTCACACCTAAAGTTAGCGGTTAAAATCGCCACTGTGTTCATTAAAGCCACTCAAACGTTGTAGGAAGAAACACACATGCTTTTGAGAAGCTACTGCCTCAGAGACATGTGCATGAACACGTATTTCCAGTTGCTGGATGTAATGGAGAAGACCTACAACAAAATCTTTCCAAGAATACACTCGAGGTTACTGATCTACTAAGATTTATCGCTTACAAAGACATTGGAGCTGTATTTCCCCATAGTGACATCCTTGCATAATAGAAATATCCCAAATCAAGGCCAACAGATATTACTCAAGACATGTTATTATGCTAAGAAATGCAAGTAAAATTATTCTTGTCACCTGTAGCAGAAAAAAATTAGCTCAATAAAACAATGTCTTTCTATGTAAAAAATAAACCCTGGGATTATCTGTAGGGTTGCTGTTTCTTGAGTATGATGAAGACCAACAACCAAGGCATTAAGATGTGTTTGACCAACAGCATCTTGAGTTGAAAACTTATTTGACTTATATACACTAATAAAGTGTTGACTATTTAGTTACACTTATTTAATGAGGCAATTAATTGAAATACAGAGCTACTAAAATGTTGACTGTTGGAAAGTAAAGAAATTCACATAAATTGCTCAGTGAACCAAGTACATTATTATGAAGTAATATTTTACTCCCCTGATGCATATGTGGATATAGAGAATGATTGACCTGTAAAAATCATTATATCTGTGTAGAAAGAGATAAACAAATAAAAAGATTTAAAAAGTCATAGTTGCTAAACTTTTATGTTACAGGTTTGTATAGAGTGCCGTTGAGTATTTTGGCTAGAACTAGATTTAAAGCTTGGAGTTTTTCCATAATGAAATTATATCCCTCATGGCTTTATTCCTTGTCACAGATTGTCATGTAAGCAAGCCTACATTTCTTTGAGCCCTATAGGTACGGAAAATAGAGTATGGTATCAGAATTCCCTCAGATGAAGGAAATCACAGGGTGGCTATCTGTGTCATAGCCCAGGATACATGCGTGGAGCCATGGATTTGCTGGCTTGTATACTCAATAGGAAATAAACTATTTACCTTTACTTTGCTGTGTGAGATGGATACCGTATTGTGACCTAGAAAAAAGGGACACGGAAGCCCGTTCAGAAGCATTTTCTATGAACAATAGGAGGACCAGCTTCATCATATTCCTGCTTACTGATCCACATCTGCTGGAATGTGGACAGGCTGGCTAGGATGGAGCCCCCAATCCAAACAGAATACTTGCGTTCCGGAGGGGCTATGATCTTGATTTTCATGGTGCTTGGTGCCAAGGTTACAATTTCCTTCTGCATCCTGTCGGCGATGCCGGGGTACATGGTGCTGCCTCCGGACAACACAGTGTTGGCATATAAATCCTTGCGAATATCCACATCACACTTCATGATGGAGTTAAAGGTTGTCTCATGGATCCCACTGGACTCAATGCCTAGAAAGGAAGGCTGGAAAATGGCTTCTGGGCACCGGAAGCGCTCATTCCCAATGGTGATCACCTGCCCATCAGGAAGCTCGTAGCTTCTTTCCAGGGAGGACGAAGCAGCTGCAGTGACCATCTCCTGCTCAAAGTCCAGGGCCACATAGCACAGCTTCTCTTTGACATCCCGCACAATCTCCCGTTCAGCAGTGGTGGTGAAGTTATAGCCTCGCTCTGTTAGGATCTTCATGAGGTAATCGGTCAGGTCTCTGCCTGCCAGGTCTAGTCGTAGAATGGCGTGGGGCAGAGCATAGCCTTCGTAGATGGGCACAGTGTGAGTGACCCCATCCCCAGAATCCATCACGATACCCGTAGTCCTTCCCGAAGCATAGAGGGACAACACGGCTTGGATGGCTACATACATGGCAGGTGTGTTGAAAGCCTCGAACATTATCTGAGTCATCTTTTCCCGGTTGATCTTGGGGTTGAGCGGTGCCTCAGTGAGAAGAATAGGGTGCTCATCCGGTGCCACACGCAGCTCGTTGTAGAAAGTGTGGTACCAGATCTTCTCCATATCATCCCAGTTGGTGACAACCCCATGTTCAATAGGATACTTCAGGGTCAAGATGCCTCGCTTGCTCTGAGCCTCATCTCCTACATAACAGTCCTTCTGGCCCATGCCAACCATGACCCCCTGGTGTCGGGGACGCCCCACCATGGAGGGGAACACAGCCCGGGGTGCATCATCACCCCCAAACCCTGCCTTGCACATCCCCGACCCATTATCTACTACCAAGGCAGACAGCTCATCGTCAACCATGGCTGCTGGCTAGGATCTTCCAGATGCGTGAACAGAAGATGAATAGAGAGGTAAGTTGTAGACTATGATGTGCAAGGAAGAATGGAGTCAGTGAACACCTCAGAACTGCCTTCAGAGAAGGAAGCCTGTACCTTGACCACAGTATTTAAAGGAACATACTGACCCCACCCGTGTCCCTATCCCACCAGTTCCCAGCATTTCTGGGTGGGGCTACCTTTGAGGTATTAATAATGATGATAATTACAGAAATCATTGCTAGCCCTTCTTACATAAAGAGAAAACTGGCTACCAAGTGGCTAAATCTCAGGGTACTATAATTAGGCAACCCACACACAGCTGCCAGTCTGCTTGGCAAGATCTCTAGATAACGCGATGCAATGGGGAATGTAACCACAAGATTGAAGAGAGCTAGGTATGGGAAGGAAGTCCATGCTGGAAGGACCGCCCCTCTTGAGCTTTAACTTTTCAGTTTTGATATGTTATTCATAAGAAGAGTCTGGTTTTTGTCTTTACTTTTTCAAGATTTTCTTTCCTATTATTAAAGATGTCAATAATGATAGAAGCTGATTTAATGAATGAACATAATGGTTGGCCATGGGAAGCCTAAAGGCTTTGATCAGAATGTACTTGTGACTTGAAAAATGCAGAGCTGCTCAATTGATTTCAAATCAGCCAGGCACAAGTAAAAGCAAGAGAGTGATCAATGAAATGAACCACTGTATATCTTTCCTACATTAACGTCTAATAACCACATTTTATAATTTATATTTTTTCACACCCAAATTTATTACTTTGCATTGGCATTGTTCATAGGTTTACAGAATCGATGTCAACTGCACAGAGGCAAAATGACGTTTTGGAGTGATTTATTAAAATTATAATAACTTTATTTGCAATAAATTTTTATAAAAAGTTTGGATTATGTAACAATAAACAAATTGATAAGACAAAATTTTAAACTATGCATTTGAGTGCATGTTGATCTTTTAAAAAACCTGATCTTCAAGGTGCATATATTTTATCATGACAGCAAGCCTGTCCGTGGTTGCTAAACTCAACACAATCGGTACAGCATTACTTTCCTTTCATTTAAAGATTTATTATCATGATCTTTGGGGGAAGTTGATTTGAAATTAATGGTTAATGTAGAAATACAGACAACTTGGTAAATCCGTGTCATGATGGATCACAGGACCTGAGGAACTGGGAAGCCATCGTAATAAAGCTCATGATTTCTTGTCCTACACATGCCAGAAAAGTAGAATAACTTCTTAGTCATATCTTCTAAAGCAAAGAGAATTGTCATCTTCATACTTGACTTCTCCAGAGTCACCTTTAATTTGGTTCATTTATTCTCCCCTACCCCCAATCTCACTTCATAAGTAAAGGCAACAACCCCTTATTGCTGAATAGAAATAGACCTTCAGATTCAAACCCGTGAGAGCCAGCCTGTATCTTACCTAGCAAACCTCTGGGATAGCCATGGCAACAGTATGCTTCGGCCCTCTTCTCTGATTGTACAGTTTGAAGTAGAATAACTTTCTTTGGGTCTCTAGTGTCTCTTTAAAACCTTCCTGCTGAAAATCAGGAAGTGTGTCTGAGCGCAAGACTTAAGGTCTTGCTTTGGACCCTACCTCCCTTTTAATCTTTTATAGAACTGAAACATTTCTCCTCTGAGCACCAAAGAACTGAGCCCCTCTCCTGGATGGCTTTATGGACTTCCTTTTTATGTAGTACAACAAAGCTTTCCATCATTGCAATGTTTGGTGGCTATCGGATGTTGGATGTTCCTCCTGGGAATGTCTTTTTTGTTTGTCCACAACACACTTATATGAGCATCCTAAAAGTGAACAAAGTATACATTGTATTTAGCAAAGGCTCCATTCATGAATTATGAATTTCTGTCTGGTTTATAGTACAAAGTAAGGCTAGTGGAATGTCGGTTGAGAATTGTGTACGGTACCAGGTGTACCTCCCACCTAGACTTATTTCAGAGCTGCCCTTAGAATTGCCCTTAAACGGAGGTTAGTGTTCTTGAGATGTGGGAGAGCCCTGAGAATGAGGCTGCTGTGAGATGTGGCAGATAGTTTCTAGTTTAGTTTTTGGTGTCCTCAGAGGAAATGTCAATCCTTGTGTGTTCTCAGAACAAGCTTTGACATTTTAATTAACTCCCGATAACATGAGAGGGCATACTCTAATTCAGCAGTTCTTGAAGTCAGGTGCTCATGTACATCTGTAATCTAGCACTCAGGAGGCTGAGGCGAGAGGACCTGAGAATCCCAGGCAGCCAGGACTTCACGGAGAGACTGTCTCAACAGAGGAAACATTCTCACAAACAACAGCTACTTCCAAATGCCATCTCGTAGGCTGGTTAAATTTGGAAAAGATAGCTTGGATTTGCGTGAGTAAAATATGAGGGAGAAGATGGGTTTCTAGGGGTGGGACTGGGGAAAGCCATGCCCAGTTATTCCCACTGACACTAGGGTTATAATTAGGTTTATAGATTTTTGTTTACCTAAACCTATAGGGGCCTTTGTAATTAAAATCATATATATATATATGTGTGTGTGCATGTTATACATTATGTATTATACACACACGCACACACAATGCATTTTTACATTATGTATTATATATACACATACACACACAGACTATGGGTTGGGAGCTATGCTAATGGAAAGCAATGTCACTGGAAACTGGAAGCAATTTTCTTTGCGGCGTTTCCTAAGACTCATTTTTCCCACCAACAACCATTGATTAGGCTTTCCCAGGAACTTGGAACTCCCTTCATGCCGGCAGGTGACAGCTCCACATTTGCATGGAGTGGTGGCGTGTGCTGACCTCTGGGAGTCTCACATGAAGGGTGGGAGGCTGCCTGTGGCGAATGAAGACATGAGAACTATTTGGAACGAGGTCTTTACACAGGGCTCAGAGGAGGTTGTGTCTGGACCTTAACAGGCAGGAAGAGACATGCAGGACTCTAGGACTTCAAGCTGCAGTTCCTGCATTGCATGGGCTGTGATGGGGGCGCCCTGGGAGGCCATACTTAATGATTAACTCCTATGTACACTCACTTCTTTAACTGAACCCCTGAGGCCAGGACTTTTAACGAGGTCCCCTTTGGCCACCGCCAGCTTAGAATATTGAGGTCAGCTGTCTTCCTCTCTCGCTCTGTCCTTTCGTTTGGCCCCCCACGCCCTCTTTCCTTGGTGAGTTGTGTGTGTGTATTGATAGCTTGGAGAGTTTCTCTCCATCGTACTTGCTCTTCGTGAAGACGTATAAAGGGTCTAACAGAAACAGAGATGGGAAGCCAGTGTGAATTTTTATTACGTATTAATCTGCTCCTTAATTGACCTATATGGCTGACCCACTTTTACAAGTTAAAAGTCTCATTATTTGTGGCTAAATGCTCTCTCATGTTTACATTTCATGTTGATCAAATGGATTTAGCATGACATCATATGAACATATGAACTGTAAACATACACTCTGGAGACGCCTTTAGCACATGACTTTGGTAATTTCTTATAGATGATGAACCCAACAATAATAATTAGATTAAGTTTATATTCTTATTTGATTTAATATATAGAACTTTGTTTTTAAAAGGTCAAATGGAAAAAAATTGAATACAGCAAAACTTTTGGCAAATGAAGCCTGGCTTTCTTCTTTACCAATGCTGGCATGGGCAGGTGGCAGAAAAGAATGCTTGTGTTTGGAAGGAAACCGACTTCAGCATGGTTTCCATAGCACAGCCAACTGTAGCTGCTGGCCCCCATCCTGGACTAGCCCGTTTTCTGTGAGCAATACCACATCTCAGTCTGCAGTACAGTGGGGCTTCCACGTTGTTTCAAAGAGCCCAATATGGAGTTTATAGTGTCATTTCTTACTCTATTTTAAAAGCAAGTCATTGAGCAGCATTTGACCATTTCAGTTGAGCTGTAAGAAAGGGCATGAAGATGGGGAATAGATTCCTTTGCATAGAACCTTTGAGGAGAACAAATGAGAAGGAAGATTATACAGTGGGATCACCCATAGCTGTAAAAGTCCGTCCATCACTGATGAGTCCTGCATACTATACAGTGGGATCAACCCATAGCTGTAAAAGTCCGTCCATCACCGATGAGTCCTGCATACTCTACAGTGGGATCATCCATAGCTGTAAAAGTCCGTCCATCACTGATGAGTCCTGCATACTATACAGTGGGATCACCCATAGCTGTAAAAGTCCGTCCATCACTGATGAGTCCTGCATACTATACAGTGGGATCACCCATAGCTGTAAAAGTCCGTCCATCACTGATGAGTCCTGCATACTATACAGTGGGATCACCCATAGCTATAAAAGTCCGTCCATCACTGATGAGTCCTGCATACTATACAGTGGGATCATCCATAGCTGTAAAAGTCCGTCCATCACTGATGAGTCCTGCATACTATACAGTGGGATCACCCATAGCTATAAAAGTCCGTCCATCACTGATGAGTCCTGCATACTATACAGTGGGATCACCCATAGCTGTAAAAGTCCGTCCATCACCGATGAGTCCTGCATACTATACAGTGGGATCAACCATAGCTGTAAAAGTCCGTCCATCACTGATGAGTCCTGCATACTATACAGTGGGATCATCCATAGCTGTAAAAGTCCGTCCATCACTGATGAGTCCTGCATACTATACAGTGGGATCAACCCATAGCTGTAAAAGTCCGTCCATCACTGATGAGTCCTGCATACTATACAGTGGGATCAACCATAGCTGTAAAAGTCCGTCCATCACTGATGAGTCCTGCATACTATACAGTGGGATCAACCATAGCTGTAAAAGTCCGTCCATCACTGATGAGTCCTGCATACTACTGAAGATAGCCCCGCGTTGGAAGGTGAAGGGGAGAAATACGAAGCCGTGAGAGCGCATCCGTCTTCAAGCCAAGTGTTGCATGTACATACAGTTTCTTTAATCTTCATGACAGCTTGTATGAAGTAGGTGTGTCTGTTAAAACTTTCTGAGGGGTTTCTTAGTTCTCATTTGTTTATC